TGAAATCGTGAAAGCGAGGGGATTGCTGCTCCTTACCGTATCAGAAGAATCAAGTAAAGCATAATCCATAATTCTGATCAAAATTCTGATCATCGTTAAGAAGGAGAGTATAGGCGGGAAATGAACTGTTTAAGGCGTTTAAGGAGTTTACCGTTTTCTGTGTTTCATAAAGAGTATTGGTAAGGAGAGGAGGAAGATCAAAAGAACGCTGTGGGGAAGTTAAGGAACCTCCAGGATCATGAGTCGAGGGCATAATGAGGAAAAGTTATGCACAAATACCAAGCAAGATAGCGACAGACAAAACGCTGCGTGCAGCGCACAAAGAGATGATGCGTATTTATGTAAAGAACATACTTATCACAGCACACTTTAGAAGATTCGAACATGAGAAGGCTCTAGAAAAGAAAAGAGCTCTGAAAAGAGCTGATTAACGAGGAATCTCTAACTAATCACACACCTGTAAAGCACGAGCGCGAATGCGATGTTATTTGTATAATGGCTGATGCTCGAATCCCCGTCTACGACTTATATTTGTCGTAAATTGTTACGTTGCTATATGCTCAAACCCTTACGCTTCTTTCCACTCTTTTCGCGCCAATTCAATATCCTTAAAGGTTAGTAACTAGTATAATTTTTGTGCTGTTGTTAATTTTTATCTTTTAATTGGAAAGTTAAATTAAATCCTTTATTGCAAATAATTAAAAAAATCAACATATTAAGTAATTAAACACTATTCATATGATCAAAATAAATTAATATAGGCTCTTATGAATATATCATACGAAGGTGGGAAAAGGCAATCAAGAGCCAGCGCGATAATTTATGCGCATGTTTTATTACAATCAAATTATATTGATATTTTAACTATTGTAAGTGATAGACACAATCACGAAAAATGCTTTTTGTCAAATACAATTATATCACAATTGAAACAAAATAGAATATTCGTAGCGGCCGCGATACATTCGAACGGAGAACACACACACATAGCTGAACACAATAAAAAAGTACTCACTTAATAATAACAAGAAATTATATTTAATCAATATAATACAAGCAAAGCTTTCTCGTACGAGAAATAACGCGCGGATTATCAAACGCGAAAAGATATGCATCGAGCGACTCCTTTATTGTAGAAAATTGAAGCAAGCGGCTTCGATCTCGAATGAAAAAAACGTAATCGCAATCGGCACTACCGCGAGCGTCGGATAGGCGAAAAAACGTTGAGTGCGAGAGAAAGACTCTAGACGCTTTGAGAGAAAGATCACGACTGCATCTTGTGGAGCGTCGTCAAGGGCACTTACTCATTTATTTTATTTATCATCCCAACCGTTCGGCGCTCACCCATGTTGTGGTTTGCAAGCCATCCGACGGACACGTGATGAATGTGTGTCAATGAACTTAAGGATAGGTGTTCTAATTTTTTGTCTGTATTCGCTTTAATTCGAACATCCCGCCTGCCTCATTCGGCGCGAATTGCCGTGGACGATGTCCACGGTTAACTATGTTTTCGATTGGTAAACGGATATAATTGTGAGATCATAGTGAACGACTATTGTTAAGATTCTCGCATGAGTATTAAGATACATTCTAAATCTAAATACGCGTAGGTTTGAAAAAAAATAGAAACGCGATAAGTTGTAGAATACATTAGAGCGCGATTAACTCATTCAGAGCGCTATCCTTGGTTGAATGCTCGTACTCGTCTGAGTCGGGAAGGAAGTTGAGTCAGTTTACTGGTCTTGTGAATTCTGACGTCACCGTCCATATAGTCACTACTCAAACGAGGCCATCCTCTTCGCAATGGATGCGATCGATCCTTGCCAGAGGCCACTTGATTGGGAGAAACGCTTCCTTCCTAAAAATGCAAAGGCGTCCTACATTGATGGTGGAGTCGCTTTTCCATCACTTGGGTTGGTGGTTCATCGTATGAAGATATTCCGCAGACCAGCGTTCCCAGAAGTGATTTCGCAGTCGTTGCAGCAACTGCCAGCGAGTTAAGCGATTGCTCGACCTCTCAAGTAGTGATGGTTCGGGTATCGCATTGAATGCAGTCCCGATCAGGAAATGACCAGACGTCAGGTCGGTCATGTCATCTGGGTTTTCGGACAAAGCTTGTAACGGTCTCGAATTCAGACACGCTTCGATTTGAGGGAGAAGCGTAGACATCTCCTCGAAGGTGAAGGTGACATCGCCTAGCACTCGTCAAAGTTGAGTTTTGGTCGATTTAATAGCTGCTTCCCATAGCCAGCCAAAATGGAGCGCCGCCGGAGGGTTGAAACGCCACTTGATGTGCTCGCGCGCGAGTTTATCAGCGATGTGGCGTGCCTTCTGATTAGTGGCGGCAAAGAGTGTCCGTTGTTCTTTATCTTCATCAATGAAATTAGTATCGCAATCGCTGTAAATGGTTAGGTTAGGTTAGATTAGGTTTGGCACATACCTCGGCGGGAGATAAACCGCCTCAATGCGGCCAGGAAGGCGTCGGCTGTGTAATCTGAAACGACCTCTAAGTGCACGGCTTTGCTATTTAGACACATAAAGACGGCAATAAAGACTTAGCAGCTTTTGTGGCCTCGCCCTTTCGTGGTTCTTAGCATAATCGGTCCCGCGTAGTCCAGGTCCATGTGAAGGAACGCTCTCGAGGACGTCACTTGAAAGCGAGGAAGGTCGCTCATCGGTTGTTGTGTTGAAGTCGCCCACCATCGCAGACAGTGCAGGACCGGTGGGTGATCTGCTTGACGGTTGCTTGTCCCCGTGGTATCCAGAAGCGTTGTCGCATCAATCCGAGGATGAGCTGAACGCCTTCATTCAGCGTTCGCGTAACACGCTTCGATCCACAAGGTCGTCAGGTATGATTCCCGCGAAAGTATAACGGGATGCTTCTAGTCATATGCGAGGAGCGCGTACTTGATCCTGTCGCCGACACGAAAAATTGCCTCTGATCTCGGAATGGATTCAGGCAAAGAAATGGACTCCGTTTTGGTAAGGCTTGATTCTTCGCCATTGCAACAAGCTCGCTCGAATATTCCCAGGTTTGAACGATACGGACTCAGACATCTAGCGCTTCATTCACTTCATCGACTGATAGATTGATAGTCCCGGTCCACCACTACTGTAACAATTGAAATTACCGACAGCGGCACCACGCGCTGTGATGCGCAATAAAATGTGAACAGAGAAATACCTGATTAGCATAGACGGTTTGTTATCGCTACGCTGCGATAATACTACGAAGGAGCTCGTACGCTGCTCCGGTCTGGAAGTATCGCTAGCGCCGGAGCAGCGGTCCAAGGGCCGGCAGTCGGTCCCCTTCATTAGAGGTAATTGTCAACCAAGTCGCCAGGAGATAGGCCTCGAGAAGCGCAGTCAGCAGAGTTATCCTGTCCAGGAACATGATGCCATCTCGCCTCTGGTGAAAAGATTACTAACGAACGTTTCAGTTTCTCCCTTTAGACTCACCTTCAAATAATGCAATTTCTCGTCTTCCGTGATGGAGGTCTCTTTTCTAATAACGAACTGAAGAAGATGTCAGAAAGGCAGCCAATCCTCATACCTGCCCGAGAATTGCGGCAATTGAATGTGAGGAAGTGTGTACATGAATGAGATGGCGACGATCCCGTGGCTGCCAAGATATCTCTCGTTTCATTCCGCGAAGTTAGAGAACTCTTCATCGTTAGCAATTGAGTTTTCTGACGTAGGAATGTCTCCTCCATTGGCCCGGCGAAATCCAGTTTACCATAGTCTGATTCTTGCAAGGCTTCCCAGAACCGCGAACAAAGTTCGTCATGCTGCCTCTTGACCTTTTCCTGATACTGTTCAATCCGTTGAATGCGGGTATCAACAGCCTCCGCGGTTATATTCGCGGCGCCAATTTTTCGCAGATTTTCAACGACGCGGCCGATGCGGTTTAGCAACTCGACTTGCCCGCGGATGATACCTTCCATATTCATGCTTATGATCGTATCTCACTTAACAACGTTCAGGAGTATCGTTTTAATAGTAGGAAATACGTGAATATAAACAGGTTAACACAAGTTTTACAACAAAATGGACTTTCTACCTCCAAGCTCCCAGCCAGCAATCTACACAGTAATTAAACTTACGACACATGAAACAAATTAAATTAATTTGCTCTTTCATAATATGCATTTTTCATAATTTGCTCCATTTTACTTTTTTTATAAGCAAATGATAAAATTAATAAGAATGTAAACGTCAATATAAGGAAAAATCATTAAAATTTGTAGATTCTCAAGGTACAGAAAATTGCGCCATTTTTGTTTGAATTTGCTCCACCTTTAGAAACTAATTATCTAGAGTATTTATTAAGAAAAAAATAAATAATTATTTTATGCATGTTGCGGGATGCCAAGAAATTGTGTGCATGCGCAAAAGTATTTTGCGCCTGCGCAATAAAAATCCAACAAACACATAACAGCTATATAACATTAGAATAAAAAATATAAATAACAGCTGTTATTTATTATAAAACATGTTATATATCATCTGTTTACTGTTGTTATATAATATATGTTAAAATAGTCGTACTCACACATTTTCGCGAGCAAATACGAAACGTTAAGGTACAATTTCATGGTGTCGCTTGTCGCAGCGATGAGTGGTCACGTGACCGAATTCTCCCCCATTTTGTCAGCGTTCTTGTCGCCAAGCGACGCCGCTAAAAAGTTGAATTGAACCCAATTTTTAGTGACGTCGCTCTCACGCAATAAATGTAAAAATGAGTTTAAATATGGAACTGCAAAATGTAAGTACAATAAATAAATAAATAAATAATGTTTCTTATATTTATTAGATTAAAATACCGAGATTAAAAAATCGAATAAACAATTAGTCGAATGTATGATCCAGTTTGTTATAATTTTGAAGTTAACTATGATCACATATACAGCAGAATAAAAATTGTTAAAATTGCGGTAATTTCATGAAATTTTCAGATAGCTGTCGTACATACTTGTGGAATATGTGAAGTAATTATTGATGAAAAGAGCATTCCGACTCATGGTTGTGTGGAAGCATACACTCGGTTGTTCATTGATGAAAATTTTTACTTCTATCCAGTAACAGGTATAATATATATATGTATTTATGTATATGTATTTATTAAAATTTACACTATTATTTGTAGATGATAACCGCATTATTCGACGAAGCCTTGTCGACAACGAAGAAGTCGTCCTGCCGGTTCGTGAAAACATTCCAGATAAATAGAAACTGATTGAAATCCTGAAAGTTGCAGTAATAAATTTGCATTTTCTAATGAAATTGATTTTAGGAACTATTAAAATGCTTTCGGCAATAAACAAACAGCGGGAAAATGAAAGTAGATCTCTCAATAAAAGAGATAATCGAAGAGCCATGAAGTCTACGTTGAATTACAACGACGAGGAACTCTAAATTTTATCGTTCAGGAAAGAAGATCTCTCTGGGATTTTACTATTCCACTAGAGCAACGATGCCAACGGTTGACAAAAAAACTGTGGGATGAAGTGTCTGAAATATTGGGAGGTAAAATAAAACGTTCATTCGCGACTGAAATACTTAAAGAAAAATTTCTCTTACAGGTAAACTTAGCGGGGAAGAAGCAAAAAAGAAATTTAAAAATTTACATGACGCCTACTGACGAATAATTCATACAGAAAATCACCCTAGTGGACTATCACCCTATAAAAAAATGGCACCATTATGACTCCATGGAATTTCTGCGCGACTTATGCCTTGTCAAAAAGTAAAAATTAAATATTTTGATTATGTACGCTTTCGAACTGTTTTGTTTCTGACTTCTAATTTTTATATTTCTATGGGAAAAGCATCTAATATTGATGTTGATGATTCTTCAAGTAATATTGGCGAATCAATAAATAATGGTGATACGATTGGCGATGACAACGATCAATCAGAGTTAGAAGCATCAGGTACTTGATCTACATTAATATCTGTCTGGAATAATAAAAGCGTTTGATTATTATCATTTGATCAATAATCAAAATATAATAACATTAATAATAATAATAAACAACCAATAAATTGCAGGTGCGCCAATTAAAAGAAAGAAGAGTTCGGGCCAGCAGTCCAATGCACTGGAAAGAATTGCTGATTCGCTCTGTCAACCACCAACTTCATTTGAAATACCGGCAGCACTCAAACTCGATGAAATTGATTCCACTCTAGAAGTTATTGGATGCAGGGTGAGAAAGATGAATAGTACGAATCAGTTAGATGTCATTCAGCATATAATGAATCTAACTTATGATATACTTAAAGGAGAACATTAAGCTTTATTGATTATTATATTTTTACAAAGTTACAATAAAGTTATATATGTTTATAATAAAGTTTAAATCAGTGAACGATAATAAAAATTAACAATGATGGAATTGCCATGGTATGGCACCTTCACTATTAAAATATTTACAAAATTTTTCTCGAATCTGCATTGCTCGACAAGAACTATTATTAGAACCGCACTGAGTTATGTCTACAAATGCATTATTATCTATGCAACCTCTCCAAGAGCCTGGAACAAAGCCGTCATCATCTTCCTCAATTAGTGTTGGAGTAACATATTCATTTTCACCAATATCTCTTCGACGAATCCAATTATGAAGGCATACAATAGGCTTTAACAATTGAAATTGTTTTTTCCATACTGCAATTGATCGGTCGCTTCAAAAAATTCTCCATTGGCTGACTAGGATACCAAACGTATTTTCGATTGTTCTTCTGGCTCGACTCAATCGATAGTTATAAATATTTCGCTCGTCATTTAAACCGCCTTTTCCTGGATAAGGCCGGAGCAAATAATCCGTCAATTGAAAGGCTTCATCACCCACCAGAACATATGGTAAAGGTGGTCCACCTGGGCTGAGAGGTTCTGGTGCAGGTACATTCATTTCCTTTGAATGGAATTTTAGACCCATCTTTGAATCTTTAAAAATACCACCGTCACTGCGGCGACCATAGGCTCCTATATCGACAAACGTGAACATATATTGTGCATCACAGATTCCGAGGAGCACAATACTATGACTATTTTTATAGTTATAATAAGATGATCCTGCGTTAGGTGGACACTGGAAAAAGAATAATAATTTAGGCATCAAACTTGTGAACTATAATAATAAATGTAGCATTGATCAGTAATATAACCTCAATAATAACATGTTTGCCATCAATTGCTCCTATGCAATGATTGAAATTCCATTTCTCTTTAAATTCTTTAGCAAGGTGTAGCCACTCCTCTGTAGTTTTTGATGGTGGGATCACTTCCTGACGAATAGAGTTCCATATAGCATCGCATGTTTCACCTATAATGTGGCTTATTGTCGATACTCCAGCGAGATAATGATATGACATTGAATGCATCGAATCACCAGTTGATAAATATCTAAATATAATTAGATCAAATATGATTATTTTTTGAATTCATAACGTAATGCAATTATAAATAAGGACAAACAAACCTCAATGTTATAGATAGTCGCTCTGCAGGAGATAATGGTTCTCTAATCACGGTTTGTTTAGTGATTGAAGGTGCCACTAAATGTAACAATTCCTCAAATTGCGTAGCTGTCATACGATAATAATTTCTGAACTTCTCTGGTGTTAAGCCCGGTCTACAATGAGTCGTTAGTCGTTAGTCGCAAGCAAATTAACCAACCACAGTCTATTATTCCAAGAATATTCTAGGAATAATCGACTGTGGTTGGTCAATTTGCTTGCGATTAACGACTAACGACTCATTGTAGACCGGGCTTAACACCAGAGAAGTTCAGAAATTATTATCGTATGATAGCTACGCAATTTGAGGAATTGTTACATTTAGTGGCACCTTCAATCACTAAACAAACCGTGATTAGAGAACCATTATCTCCTGCAGAGCGACTATCTATAACATTGAGGTTTGTTTGTCCTTATTTATAATTGCATTACGTTATGAATTCAAAAAATAATCATATTTGATCTAATTATATTTAGATATTTATCAACTGGTGATTCGATGCATTCAATGTCATATCATTATCTCGCTGGAGTACCGACAATAAGCCACATTATAGGTGAAACATGCGATGCTATATGGAACTCTATTCGTCAGGAAGTGATCCCACCATCAAAAACTACAGAGGAGTGGCTACACCTTGCTAAAGAATTTAAAGAGAGATGGGATTTCAATCATTGCACAGGAGCAATTGATGGCAAACATGTTATTATTGAGGTTATATTACTGATCAATGCTACATTTATTATTATAGTTCACAAGTTTGATGCCTAAATTATTATTCTTTTTCCAGTGTCCACCTAACGCAGGATCATCTTATTATAACTATAAAAATAGTCATAGTATTGTGCTCCTCAGAATCTGTGACGCACAATATATGTTCACGTTCGTCGATGTAGGAGCCTATGGTCGCCGTAGTGACGGTGGTATTTTTAAAGATTCAAAGATGGAAAGATCTCTCTGGGATTTTACTATTCCACTAGAGCAACGATGCCAACGGTTGACAAAAAAACTGTGGGATGAAGTGTCTGAAATATTGGGAGGTAAAATAAAACGTTCATTCGCGACTGAAATACTTAAAGAAAAATTTCTCTTACAGGTAAACTTAGCGGGGAAGAAGCAAAAAAGAAATTTAAAAATTTACATGACGCCTACTGACGAATAATTCATACAGAAAATCACCCTAGTGGATCGGCTAGACCTCTCCCTACAAAAAAATGGCACCATTATGACTCCGTGGAATTTCTGCGCGACTTATGCCTTGTCAAAAAGTAAAAATTAAATATTTTGATTATGTACGCTTTCGAACTGTTTTGTTTCTGACTTCTAATTTTTATATTTCTATGGGAAAAGCATCTAATATTGATGTTGATGATTCTTCAAGTAATATTGGCGAATCAATAAATAATGGTGATACGATTGGCGATGACAACGATCAATCAGAGTTAGAAGCATCAGGTACTTGATCTACATTAATATCTGTCTTTAATGTTTGCCAAAGTGGTCTCCGCAGAAACCAGAAATGTAGGAATAATATGTGACCTTTATGGAATAATAAAAGCGTTTGATTATTATCATTTGATCAATAATTAATATATAATAACAATAATAATAATAATAAACAACCAATAAATTGCAGGTGCGCCAATTAAAAGAAAGAAGAGTTCGGGCCAGCAGTCCAATGCACTGGAAAGAATTGCTGATACGCTCTGTCAACCACCAACTTCATTTGAAATACCGGCAGCACTCAAACTCGATGAAATTGATTCCACTCTAGAAGTTATTGGATGCAGGGTGAGAAAGATGAATAGTACGAATCAGTTAGATGTCATTCAGCATATAATGAATCTAACTTATGATATACTTAAAGGAGAACATTAAGCTTTATTGATTATTATATTTTTACAAAGTTACAATAAAGTTATATATGTTTATAATAAAGTTTAAATCAGTGAACGATAATAAAAATTAACAATGATGGAATTGCCATGGTATGGCACCTTCACTATTAAAATTGGTCTCCGCAGAAACCAGAAATGTAGGAATAATATGTGACCTTTATGGAATAATAAAAGCGTTTGATTATTATCATTTGATCAATAATTAATATATAATAACAATAATAATAATAATAAACAACCAATAAATTGCAGGTGCGCCAATTAAAAGAAAGAAGAGTTCGGGCCAGCAGTCCAATGCACTGGAAAGAATTGCTGATACGCTCTGTCAACCACCAACTTCATTTGAAATACCGGCAGCACTCAAACTCGATGAAATTGATTCCACTCTAGAAGTTATTGGATGCAGGGTGAGAAAGATGAATAGTACGAATCAGTTAGATGTCATTCAGCATATAATGAATCTAACTTATGATATACTTAAAGGAGAACATTAAGCTTTATTCTCCTAGCAATGCAGATTCGAGAAAAATTTTGTAAATATTTTAAAGTACGAATCAGTTAGATGTCATTCAGCATATAATGAATCTAACTTATGATATACTTAAAGGAGAACATTAAGCTTTATTGATTATTATATTTTTACAAAGTTACAATAAAGTTATATATGTTTATAATAAAGTTTAAATCAGTGAACGATAATAAAAATTAACAATGATGGAATTGCCATGGTATGGCACCTTCACTATTAAAATATTTACAAAATTTTTCTCGAATCTGCATTGCTCGACAAGAACTATTATTAGAACCGCACTGAGTTATGTCTACAAATGCATTATTATCTATGCAACCTCTCCAAGAGCCTGGAACAAAGCCGTCATCATCTTCCTCAATTAGTGTTGGAGTAACATATTCATTTTCACCAATATCCCTCCGACGAATCCAATTATAAAGGCATACAATGGCTTTAACAATTGAAATTATTTTTTCCATACTGCAATTGATCGGTCGCTTCAAAATTCTCCATTAGCTGACTAGGATACCAAACGTATTCTCGATTGTTCTTCTGGCTCGACTCAATCGATAGTTATAAATATTTCGCTCGTCATTTAAACCGCCTTTTCCTGGATAAGGCCGTAGCAAATAATCCGTCAATTGAAAGGCTTCATCGCCCACCAGAACATATGGTAAAGGTGGTCCACCTGGGCTGAGAGGTTCTGGTGCAGGTACATTCATTTCCTTTGAATGGAATTTTAGATCCATCTTTGAATCTTTAAAAATACCACCGTCACTACGGCGACCATAGGCTCCTACATCGACGAACGTGAACATATATTGTGCGTCACAGATTCTGAGGAGCACAATACTATGACTATTTTTATAGTTATAATAAGATGATCCTGCGTTAGGTGGACACTGGAAAAAGAATAATAATTTAGGCATCAAACTTGTGAACTATAATAATAAATGTAGCATTGATCAGTAATATAACCTCAATAATAACATGTTTGCCATCAATTGCTCCTGTGCAATGATTGAAATCCCATCTCTCTTTAAATTCTTTAGCAAGGTGTAGCTGGCATATGAAATCACGTGACTCATTTGTCGCTGAATATGAGCGACGAGCGACACCATGAACATGTACCTTATTGCTGTGCGACGTGCAATGCGCATTATCTCGCATTTGAATTTTACTCATGAGAATTATATAAAGCTCGCAAAGATCAACTGACAGGATATATAAAATGTAATTATTTCAATCAGTTCAATTTCTGATGCAATCCCAACATAGGGAATTCAGATATTACGAGATATTTTATTTTTTATATCAAAATATGTCAGATTAAGATATAAAATAACTCAAAAAATACTTAATGAAAAAATACTTTATTATAGTGTTTTGAAAAGCTCTTGAGATAAGCTATAAGAATATGTAATGAAAAATAGGGGGTTTCATTTGAAAAATTCAAATTGATATTTATGTGACCTTGACGGTGCTATTCAAAGTCATACTAATATTATTATATAATGCGCCACTTAGAGCTCTACAACTTTTGCATGAAACATTTTTCACGAAAATGCGTTGTTTCCTCAAAAAACTGCTGATACGGGCGCTCTGTTACACCCTATATATAAAGTAATATTTATAACTGCACTTTAAAAAACGTATATATCTGTCCCTAACAGCACATGATATCATTCGAATATTCTGTACTGATACTGTGAATATACGTTATATATGTAGTATACTAAGAACATTCCTATAACATTTCTTACAGTATATTATTTCTCGTATATTCTCAAGATATACTTATAATATCTCTTACAGTATATTATTTCTTGTATATTTTCTCGTATATTTTTAGAATATACTTATAATATCTCTTACAGTATATTATTTTTCGTATATTCTCGTATATTCCCAGAATATACTTTTGAGTTACGCAGAATTTAATAGTGAGATATCAGAAGCGTCTGATGGCGCTGGCATCGCGGTAGCGCGTAGTCGTCTAGCGGGCCATGAGATAATTCAGTATTATTTGTTGGCGGGAAAGTGAGCAAGAGTATCCTAGTGTATGTGAATAATCCTTGTGTCTTCGTGTTCGCAAGGAAAAGAGAGATCGTTTGGTTGAGCTTTTAGTGCTCAGGGTCTGTTGACCGTTCTGGGTTTTTGCATTAAGCTCATCTGCAGTGGACTCTATAAGAGCAAGTAATATTTTCAGCAAATACACGTGGCATTGTGAGACAAAGGCCTAGTCGGCCATAATAGCTGTGTTTCTTCTCGGTGTGTTCTTTGTCTCAGCGAGAACTTGGCTGACGCCGCTTCTTCACGGTCAATGACTACATCGTTTTAATCAGAGGTAATCCTTTTTCTTTTTTACATTATATTCTATCATTTATATACAGAGTGTTCCGTAAAGATCGTAACAACGCTTAAGAGTAAATTCTTGATATCATTTGGAGATGATTTTTCCTTAACGAAAATATCGAGACAGATCATCATTTTTTGCAAGTTTCCAATTTTTTCCATCATATATCTTTGTAACTAAGCCTTAAATTAAAATTCTGTCTCTATTAAAGTAAACTCTATTTGAAATTAACTAAAGAATATGGTTTTAACTCTCTAAAGTTTAGTTTGCAAAAAGCCCTTCTTTTTGAATCGCTGTAAAAAGCTCTTCTTTTTTAATCGAAGTATATTCTTATGTGATATTCCTGTTATGTTACAGTGTTATTACACAGACTGATAACAAGGTGGCGGTCTACATTACATAATTAAAGATCTGTGACAAGTGGAAGAACAATATTTGAGCTTGCGGCGAAGAGACCAGAAGATTTAATAAATCAAGTAAGTTTTATATAATTTTTAAATTTTGATTTTATAGTGAAATTAATTAAGCCATTTTAAATTGCAATTAGTTTTTACAATGATTTGAAGTTGACTCATTTAAGGCCCTCGCATAATCAAAAATATAGGGAACAGAGAACAGATATTAGAGATAAGGAATTGACTTGGCTTCTGTTAAAGTAACTATCTTTTCAATTTTCCAGGTTATGTAGTATGAGTAGGTGAGATAGGCCGCCTCTAACTCACTTTGACAATGAGAGCGAGAGAGATGGATAGAGAGATAGAAAAGGATAGAGATATGAGTTAGAACAGTTTGTAGACGACCGAGAGGGGAAGCGCGGATAGGGGGGAAGAGGAGGGGGTACGTATGGCGAGAAGGGAAGCGGGGCGAGGGGGGTCGGGGGAGCGCGTGACGTCACGGGAGGGAGCGGATATGAATCGCTAAGATTGCCCGTGAGATGGCGCTCGGCTCGATCGGGGGTCGCGCTTACCGACTCGCCCTACGTACCCCCCTCTTCTCCCCCCTGTCCACGCGTCTCCCTCGGCCGTCAACAAACTCTTCTAACTCATATCTCCATCCTTTTCTATCTCACCATCCATCTCTCTCGCTCTCATAAAAGTGAGTTAGCGCCGGCCTATCTAGACGCCCAACAAAATCAACGAGATCGCCCGGGAGATGACGCTCGACTCGATTGAGGTCGCGATTTCTCCCGGCGCGATTTCTCCCGGCGCGATTTGACCTTGGCGCGACTTGACCTTGACGCGACTCGTTCCTTAAGGAGGTGACGGCGATCTCTCGCGCTGCTTTTAGCGCGTGATCCGTTATCGCGATTCTTAAGTTCCGCGAGCGGACGCTGATATATGGCGCCGAGGGAGATGGATAGAGGAAAGGTTAGCGGCGATACGAGCGCGCTTATCGCTCGAGCGAGATAGCGAATCGTTGAAAGGTTGTGGAATAAAGAGAGATTGTGTTTTTGCGCGAGAGGAGGAGCGTTTTTATTGTTTTTCTTTTACAATATTTTTAATATATTAATAATGTGATAATACGAGTATGCGAATAAGCGTATCACGATTCTCCGAAGAGCAGAGCCTGCAGCTCGCAATCGCCGATATCGTTGCGGTCGAAGTTCTCGTTATCGCGTATCATCGTGGGAATAAGCGCTGAATCGTGAGCGCCTGCCGCGATATCGAGAAAACGAGTCAGCTTGTTATCCACATGCGCGGTTAAACC